TGGTAATGTGACTGTTAACCTTCTTGAGCATCAAAGGCCACTTGAGTTGTATTCTCCCCAGGGAGTTCACACTGATCCATGGATAGCGCCATGTGTTTCTCTTTGTGAAGGGAATCTGGTGCATCTGAAAGATGACTTATTATTAGTTGGACCGTCATTATCAGTACTGTAGTTCACGACGTCTCTCAGTACATTAGAAATTAATCATTCTGTCGATTTTATCATAGTGCAGCCATTTTCGTCATGGGTGGTCATTTTCATACTCTTTCCATATCCAAACTATCAGCAAATATAAACAAATTAGATATAATAATAATGTTATTCATTTGTGTAGTGCTTATTTCCAATGTAGCTCTGCTCAGAAGCGCTCAGTAGTAAATATTACCCCACATAACCCAAGCTGCCTGTGAGGCTCTAGAAGGTTAATAGTCACATGACTTATCCCACCAGGTACCCATTTTCTGCTGGGTGAACAGAGGCAATTTTGAACAAACTCACTTGCCTAAGGTGAGATCTGGACCACATGTGTCACACGTGTGCTTTGTTGTGGGGCAGGAATGAAGTCCTAGAAACTCTCAGGAGTCAAGCTGCCAAACACGGTCACTCATCCAAGGACTCTCCGCGTTGCTTACCTTCAACTGTGACCTGGGGGCGGTGGGGTAGCCTAGTGGTTAAAGCGTTGGCTCGTCACGACGAAGACCCGGGTTCGATTCCCCACATGGGCACAATGTGTTAAGCCCATTTCTGGTGTCCCCCGCCGTGATATTGCTGGAATATTGCTAAAAGCGGCGTAAAACTAAACTCAGTCAGTCAGTCAACTGTGACCTGAGTTCTATGCACGGGACCACACACCACCACAAGAGCCTTATAAGAGATACAGAGTCAGATCTGAAGAAAAATTATCAGGTATATACTCCAGACACCCAGCAAAGTCTTGTGAAAAAAGGTTAACCATTTTTGAAAAATCCTTTTGAAACGAAAAGATTAACAGAGAACTTCATTACTGACAGACATAGGCAGTTTCTCCGTTATCAAATCCAGGACATATTTTCTTATTAAACACCAATGTGATAAAAAGCAACAACACAATGTAGGCAATAATAGCAAACAGAGTTTATTTCATTGTTAATGGAGGTAGATTTCAGTCATGACAACCACAACTTCCCGTTGATATACTGAGGGAAACAAATATGGGAACACATGAAAGCACAAGTGTTCCTTTATTCTTTTCGAGGTTTTTTTCACATGCTTTGTCTCGCAGGATGATTATCTGAGCATAAATAGAGGAACGCTGCGATGAAGTGGTGTTCCCTTATTTGTTTCCTTCAGTATATGATCAGCTATCTGTTGTTTCTCATGATCAGACGTCATAATACTGATGCTCAGAACCAACTGAGCATATTTTGTACAGGTAACAAAAATGTACAACAAGCTATGGAGCAAATTATTCTTATGCAAATACAGTCAAATCCAGATGAGTCGAATGCCGGTGTCTCGAATATTATGCATAACTCGAAGTACCTGTCGGTCCCGACCATTCCCTGTTATAGTTGTCATCATTTGATTTCCGGTTACACGAATTCGTCTCATAAATACACACGATGACTCGAGAAGGAAATTTGGTCCCATGAGATTCAAACAACAGCAATCTTGTATACATAAGCCGAAGTCAGTCAATGAGAAGTTGATTGGTGTAGCAAACTGATCCAATTAACAAACCAGCGCGGCTCACACCTTTCCGCCATTGACGGGTGAGTTCAAAAGGGAGATTAGTGATTTTACGGAAATCACTGTCTGTGCTAATCAGACTGAAACTGATAAGGTGCCCCTATTAGTGATATGGAAATCATTAGATAAACAAATGCTGAGGCCGAGGAATTAGGACTGGATCATCTTTTTTTCTACCCTCATAGACATACCTATGTCTCGAATACATCGATAAGTCCAATTTATTACTTGTTCCCCAGTGATTCGACTCATCGGGATTTGACGGTATAACGCTCAAATATAGTTGTGGATTATGTGATTCTTCCGATTACTAAACTTAATCTATCCTACCATGACACACTGTAGTAATATGAAAGAATCAGGCACTCAGTAATCCTTTTGTGGCAATATCGATACCCAACAGGTAGAACTTGTTTTACCTGTAATTTCCTATTTCAAAGCCACGCATATGTTCGTATCAATCCCCTTATCTCAAACATGACAAATATATCAACTTTACCCACACTTTTTCTCAAACCTCATTTTTTCAAGTTATTCCTAAACCGAAAGACATTTGGTTATCTCGAACACTGTTTATCGCAAAGTCATCCCCACTTTCATAAAGTCTCTTTTTTATCTGATATTTTGCTAATCAAAACATAAGCTCTATGCTCATAGTAACCTGGGCCCTTATTCTCGAAACGTTCGTAGCTCTAAGAATTCTTTACTTTGATCGTAGCCAATGTGTTAAGAATGGGCTTAAGAAGTTCGTAGGGCTACGAACGTTTGGAGAATTGCTAGCCTGTTTCTCTCAAGCTCTACTTACTTTAAACTTTACTAATCCCAATCTTCACTAAAAATAATCTTTACTTATCTCATGCTCACATAAATCCCTACAACTTTAATTCTGCTCATCAAAACATAACAATCCATTTATTGGATTATTTTATCAACTCTGACCAATTTTTATCTCTACTTATCTCACAGGGTCGGTGGGGTAGCTTGGTGGTTAAAGCGTTCGCTCGTAACACCGAAGACCCGGGTTCGAGTCCCCCACATGGGTACAATGTGTGACGCCCATTTCTGGGGTACTCCGCCATGATATTGCTTGAATATTGCTAAAAGCGGTGTAAAACTTCACTCACTCACTTACTTACCTCATACTTTGCTATGTGTAACATTTACTCATCTCAAACTTAATCATGTCCTTAGATAATCATAAATTCATATAATAACATATTTTGATCTATTAAACATTTCTCTTTTGTCGGTCTTTGCTCAGTCTCCTTATCAAGTCAGTCTCTGTACTTATATCTCCAAGTTCCTCTTTTTCATTCATTTTTTCTTTCCTTCATGTTGCTCACAACTCTTTATCTCAACCTTACTTATCAAAGTTATCTCCAAGTCTCTATTTTTTCTTCTTCCTGGGCCCCGTTCCTCAAAGCAATTGTAACACTACAATAGTTGTAAATCACTACAATACAATTGTAACTTTAACTTACAATCACTCCACCGTTCCTCAAAGCAATTGTAAGTTACAATCACTTCCGTGAGTTGCACATGACCGTCTGTAACTTACTTACGATTGATTGTTGTGTATGAACAAGATGCCAGTGTTTGTTGTAATTCATAACAAAGGAGACCGAGAAATTTGGCCCTGAGGCATATTTTCGAGACCGTAGTCGCGTTCTTGATGTTTACAGTGACGCTGACATATATTCAAGGTACAGAATGACGAGGGCTTCCATTCTGAAACTGGTAAACATGCTAAGAACCTGGGTTATCCTCGGACACCCACTGTTTACATGCACTATCCGTAGAAAGCAAGATTTTAATTACTTTGCTATATCTTGCTTTTGGTGGATTATTTTTAAAATCTTGCGAAGGGGAAGCAACTCTCACCAGCCGGGAGTAATGTAAACACATTATTTCTAACTTTCACACAGAAGATCACAATTGTAATTTACGATCGAAGAGAATTACAATCATGATACTTACAATTCCCTTACAATAGCTTTGAGGAACGACAATAAATTGTTATTTATGATAATTTAATAAATTTGATCGTAGGGTTTACAACTGATTGTAGCTACGATCGCTTTTGAGGAAACGGGGCCGAGGTCTACATATTTCAAACATACCAAGGAATGTCTCTTAAAACAAATAGTACACAGTCCCTGAGAATGAAAATTGTCATGTCATACATGAAATGTTAAAACCCTAAGATAAACAGTCATCATAGCTTCTTCTTGGCCTCTCGTTGTCGCAGTGTGTATGCACGGTAGTAGAAGTTGCCAAACAGGAGAATGAGGAGAGGGCATACAGAAAGACAGCGATGTTGAAGCCGGGGAAGTCGCAGTCTGTGGTCAGGGTTGTAGCCAGTGTGTACCAGAAGGCAAAGAACTGGGTCTGAAACATAAAACAGTGTCTCTAAATGTTTGTAGATGGGATGACAGCAAATGAATTCATTTGCATTTTTCAAATACTTCTATTACATGCCATGGGACGTACATTTTACTGCTTGGAATTTTTACTGGAAAATACCTGTCGACAGGTGAAAATCAATAACATATTTTGATCTATTAAACATTTCTCTTTTGTCGGTCTTTGCTCAGTCTCCTTATCAAGTCAGTCTCTGTACTTATATCTCCAAGTTCCTCTTTCATTCATTTTTTCTTTCCTTCATGTTGCTCACATCTCTTTATCTCAACCTTACTTATCAAAATTATCTCCAGGTCTCTCTTTTGTTCTTCCTGGTCTACATATTTCCATCCTCGATAATCTCCAGGGTATACGTTACGATCACTCTCCACTATACCCTGGATGCATCCACGGCTTGGGGCGATGATTTTATTACCTCCATTGGCTGGCTCCGCATTCTCACAGTAGCCAATCAGCTAAGCCGCCGTTACAACCAGGTTGCAGTGTCAACACAGATAGTGGTCGCAGTTGCAAAGGTTTGTTCGCAGTGCCACTCAGATTTTTGGGGAAATAATAAAGACAAATTCACAGATCTGAAACTTTAAAAAGAATATATGAAAGATCTCCTTCTACTTCTTTCAGAGTACCTCTACATCAATTGTGTTGCCAAGTTTAAACGGTTAGATAATTTAAGACGCGGAAGTGAGTAGTGATTGGTACGCTCAACTTCCCAGCGTAGGTACCTGACTGGATTAAAAGCCAGCCAAGGGAGGTAATAAAATCATCGCCCCAAGCCGTGGATGCATCCAGGGTATAGTGGAGAGTGATCGTAATAACTTATACCCTGGAGATTATCGAGGATGACGTATTTCAAACATACCACGGAATGTCTCTTAAAACAAATAGTACACAGATCCCTGAGAATGAAAATTGTCATGTCATACATGAAATGTTAAAACCCTAAGATAAACAGTCATCATAGCTTCTTCTTGGCCTCTCGTTGTCGCAGTGTGTATGCACGGTAGTAGAAGTTGCCGAACAGGAGAATGAGGGAGAGGGCGTACAGAAAGACAGCGATGTTGAAGCCACGGGGGAAGTCGCAGTCTGTTGTCAAGTTGTAGCCAGTGTGTACCAGAAAGGCAAAGAACTGGGTCTGAAACATAAAACAGTGTCTCTAAATGTTTGTAGATGGGATGACAGCAAATAATTCATTTGCATTTTTTCAAATACTTCTATTACATGCATAGGACGTACATTTTTTACTTCTTGGATTTTTTATTGGAAAATACCTGTCGACAGGTGAAAATCACCACAAAATAGAAGCAATACAGATTTTTTTCCTTCCCACACAACTATGCTGGTTTTAATAATGACAGTTTCTTATGTTTGAACACAAAAATCTTTTTTGTTTTTCCAAAATTGAAGCAGGGTTCTCAACAGTGGGTTGTTACTTAGAAAATACTTTTGGCCCAATATGCTCATAGGTGGGATAAAAAGATTCAGAAGTTGAGTGATTCTTTATCCATTTCAACAAAACTTACAGTCTGCATATCCATAAAGTGAGTAAAAAAACGTTAGCAACAATCCAGTGATATGACTTTGCAGGTTTAACCATATGCAAATTATTGCATCACAGTCGCATAACATTAAAAATGGACGCAAATGACATCCACTTCGCGTCCCCTTGAATGCAAAAGAGGATGGATGTTGGAATGACTGACACAAATAAAGATGAAGCTTGTTTGTTAGATTTAACTCGTACTTCTGCTGTGCGAAGAAATACAATCAGTTTTCAGGCACCTCCTGTTAAAATTTCTTAACTCCCCCAGGAAGCTATTTGGTTGACTCGGCATGTCAATACTAATTCCCTCCATGAGTCCGAACATGATGGTAAACCCCTGGCCAATAGGTAATGAAGTCTGGACCAGTCTAATCAGTGATTGATATTATGAGCATTGTCGCGTGTCTGTGCATATCTGACCGCCTCCGTGGTGTAGTGGTTAGAGCGTCCGCCCGGAGAGCGGAAGGTCGCGGGTTCGATCCCCGACCGCGTCATACCAAAAGACGTTAAAATATGGTACTTGTTGGTCCCTGCCTGGTGCTCGGCATTAATGGGTACAAGGACTGGTCGGCTCAGAGTCAGTATAATGTGTCTGAGTGGGGTATTCATGCTTCACTGCGGCATGGTATCTCAGTGGGCTAGCACTATAAAACCAGCTAAAGTCTCGGCTAGTACAAGCAGCCGCACATACACGTACACACTCATGCACGTCGTCATATGAGCGAAATATTCTCAAGTACGACGTCAAACCCAATTTCACTTCACCTCACCTCTGTGCATATCTGCGTCTGTGTGTGGTGCAGTGTGAGGGTGTGTGTGTGTTGTGTTGTTATGTGGTGTCTATTTGTGGAAGGTGGTTTGGTGTGGTGTGGTGTGGTGTCTATTTGTGGAAGGGGTGGGGCGGGGTGTGGCTTGGCATGGCATCTGTGTGTAGTGTGGTGTGGCGTGTGAGTGTGTTTCACCATACCAACTCTACCCACATGTGCTTTTTTCATCCTATTACTGCTGAGCACCAACAAAGTAACACAGTACCACCCATTGACAACATGTTACACAATCAGACATCGAACCACAGACCTACTCTCTGGGCAGACGCTTTATCCACTACATCACAGAAGCATCTCAGACTTACACACATGAACTACTAATGTTTCTCTCTCTGCCTTACATCATCGTACCAAACCATCAATGATGAATCCAGTCATAAAGCTTCTTCTGTCATATCCCAAAGTGGTTTCATTTTGTCATCCTACATCTCTCTACAACATCAGTCCTGCTCCATCTCAAGCCTCATCTACCCAATTAACAACCAAATCATCTGCAGCATCCTTTGAAACACTGCAGCATCAACTCCATCCTTGATGTACATCTGACAGCTGCAGCAGATCATAAAGACTTTCTGCCGATAATACACCAACTCTCATCCAGAAATCTACCATGTGTGACACACAAAGAAATATTTGGATAAAAATTGGTGCCAAATACATATCCTATCTCCTGGTTATCTCACAGACCCTCCACATGCTTCCTCCAATATATTCTGACATACTGCAAGCTATGTAAACCAGGAAGCTGGTTCTTCCAATGTTTCAGAAACTGTAACTAATGTCCAATATTCACAATCAAACCCGACATAATCACAACACCCTGTCATTTCAATTGCGATATTTTGTCTCAGTTGTTTTGCGCAATCTTTTTTTTTTCCCAAAAGATTAAATTTGTCCACAAATCAGGTCCCACCAGGATGCTAAGAGTCAAACTAGCTTTGCCCTGTGATCACCGACAAAAGAAAGTGTGTCTTAATTAAACCCGCGATAAAGTTCCGCTAAGCATGTCCGAGCCAGCAGGCAGTGTCGGTGTGCCGACATCAGACAGGTACAGACTGACAGATTCCGCTACATGAATCAGAAAGCGGGCTCAACTAAAGAAGTCAATTGTTTCAGCGCAGTGACCAAAGGCGACACCATCACTGATGTTCAAAGGCGGCGCCACCAAGGCGTCATTGAATGGTAAGATGAAATAACAGCGTTATGGTTAATGTCACAGAGTGTAGCCATATTCTTTGCTTCAGAGTGAGACAACACTTTTGATTGGTCATTTCATTACGGAGACACAAAGCAGTTTGATGTGCTTGATGACTCCTAATTAAACAATGATTGACAGGGTGGACATCGATACTGCCTGGCCACGCATCCTTCGGCTTTGATTCCCCATTGGACGGAACTTGGCTATTGATGTTTTATCATAAACACTTCAGCTGCCCCAGTAAAACACAGATAAAGTCAGATCAAGGCTTTTCCTCAGCTAACTAAAGCATTATCAATTGGAAATAATCTCAATGCAAATACATGAGCAGGTAGTTAGCATAGACAGAAGTGTACTGAATGTCTTAATGCCTCTAGTCAATAGCTGTCGATCAAACACAAAAAACAAGGCGCAACATTCAAAGTAGGCCATAAATTGGGTCAGTGATCACAAGTTTCAATTTCTAATAAACCATGCTGATACTAAAAGGAAATATTTGATTTAGACCCTTACACTGGGGATAAAATAAAAACTGATTCCAAATTGTCATAGTGAAGTTGATAGTTTCATTGAATTGGTGCCATTTGACGTCTGCTGAAATTTCCCAGCAGACGTTCACATACAATATATACACCTGAAAAAGGATTAGCACAACTTCCTACACAATTCTATAATAAACAACAAATTTTAATCCAGTTATTTTTGTTAATTTTCTGATTTAAAAACAACAACAATTGTACACAGCGTGACTCATACAGAAATAATGAAACCAAAGCTGACGATGTCTGATGACAAGTTTTGTAAGAGTCCAATTTTAATAGTCATGATTACTCTTTTTAAATCTCCATCTGCATCCTCCCGTCTCACATGAACCAGTTTCTACAACCTCCTGAAGGAATACCGTGTTTGTGTTTCAACTACTCAGCCATTACTAGCAGATTCTTGACATTTAACGTGAGATCACTGTCAGATCGTGATATTTCCCAAGACACTTGAGATTAGGGGATATATGTTTCTCAGAATGCATGTTCTGTGTTTAGCTAATGTCCTTATGAATATGCGACATCACCATGCTTAATGGCAAATGGTAAAGTCTGTGCAGTGATCATTAACCATTTTAAAAAATTATCAGAAAATGCTTGATTCTTATAGATCAATACTTACAAATTCCCCTAAAAACATCAAGTCAAGATTTGTAGCGTTTAATGAGTTTCATAAGTTTGTGCAGTAATCATGAATCATTTAATAAAAATGTATCTGGGAAGGCCTTATTAGTTAAATACTATAACCTTGATGTAGATTTAGTAGTAAAAGGTAGTGATCTTAGTAGTAGTAGGGGCGGTGGGGTCACGCCGAAGACCAGGGTTTAATTCATCACATGGGTACAATGTGTCAAGCCCATTTCTGGTGTCTCCCGCCGTGATATTGCTTGAAGTTTGCTGAAAGCAGCGTTAAATCATACTCACTTACTAGCAGTAGTAGTAGCAGTAGAAGTAGTAGTAGTAGTAGCAGTAGTAGTAGTAGTAGTAGTAGTAGTAGTAGTAGTAGCACTAGTAGTAGTAGTAGTAGTAGTAGCACTAGTAGTAGTGGTAGCACTAGTAGTAGCACTAGTAGTAGTAGTAGCACTAGTAGTAGTAGTAGTAGTAGCAGTAGTAGTAGCACTACTAGTAGTAGCTGAGCTGAGCTGAAATTGGGTTTTACGTCGTGCTTGAGAATATTTCGCTCATATGACAACGTGTATGCGTGTGTATGTGTATGTGCGACTGATTGTACTAGCCCAGACTTAAGCTGGTTTTATAGTGCTAGCCCACTGAGATACCATGCCGCAGTGAAGCATGAATACCCCACTCAGACACATTATACTGACTCCGTGCCGACCAGTCCTTGTTGTACCCATTAATGCCGAGCACCTGGCAGGGACCAACAAGTACCATATTTTAACGTCTTTTGGTAGACGCGGTCGGGGAACTCAGAAGTAGCAGTAGCAGTAGCACTAGTATTAGTAGCAGTAGTAGTAGTAGCACTAGTAGTAGCAGTAGCAGCACTAGTAGTAGCAGTAGTAGTAGTAGCACTAGTATCAGTAGCAGTAGTAGTAGTAGCAGCAGTAGTAGTAGTAGCAGTAGTAGTAGTAGTAGTAGTAGCTAGTAGCAGTAGTAGTAGTAGCAGTAGTAGCAGTAGTAGTAGCAGTAGTAGTAGCAGTAGCAGTAGTAGCAGTAGCAGTAGTAGTAGTAGTAGTAGTAGCACTAGTAGCAGTAGCAGTAGTAGCAGTAGTAGTAGTAGTAGTAGTAGCAGTAGTAGTAGCAGCAGTAGTAGTAGCAGTAGTAGTAGTAGCAGCAGTAGCAGCAGTAGTAGTAGCAGTAGTAGTAGTAGTAGTAGCAGCAGCAGCAGTAGCAGTGGTAGCAGTAGTAGTAGCAGCAGTAGCAGTAGTAGTAGTAGTAGTAGCAGTAGTAGCAGTAGTAGTAGCAGCAGTAGTAGTAGTAGTAGTAGCACTAGTAGCAGTAGTAGCAGTAGTAGTAGTAGTAGTAGTAGCAGTAGTAGTAGTAGTAGTAGTAGCAGTAGCAGTAGTA